AAAAAAAAAATAAATTAGCTAAAAAAAAAAAAAAAAAAAAAAAAGCCCAGAACTGCTTTTCTGACTGATATGACACAATGTTAACTATTTGTACATTCTCTAACATGCATATTTTGGATTCACAATTCATTTAAAAGCCTCTGGTGTGTAAAAATAGTAAATATCATCATGTCCTCCTGTTTTTTTTTTTGCCATAAAAGTTATAGGAGCATTGAATAGTTAATAAAGAAACTTCATTCTAATGCTCATTATATTAGCGTTAGCCACGCTTATGCTAACCTTTAACTACTCTAATAACAGCGATGTTAATTTCAATCCGACATTCAAATTAAAATATTGAATAATATTCATATCATAAGCAGTGTTTCCCACAGACTTGCACTGTATTTGTGGTGGCATATATATGCAAATTCGTTCTCTGCCAGCAGGAGGCGCTTGTAAAGCGGGAGCGATGGAGGTTTCCCCAGTAACGGCTGTAATCAAATAAGCACTGCGCTCACAAACGCTACTCCGGCATTACAGGCAAGATGAAATGAAAATTACATCCAAAATTTTCTGAAGACAGTCGGTTTCCTTCAGAAATACAGTGATATAAAAACACCCGCACTGGGTTTCGACTTTGACACGTGCAGTGCTCATGTTTATTCAACAAAGTCAAAGCCTTTTGGAAAATCTATTTGTGGTGGTGAGTTTTGATATTGTGGCGGGCAGCCACAAATAAATCAATGTGTATGGGGTGAAATGAAACTTACCTGCTTTTGAACTATTTCATTTGATCTGGGTGTCTTTTAAAGTGTTTTGTTAGTTTGATGTTTCTTAATTTTGAGGTCGCCATGTCTCAGTGCTTTTATGAAGAGAGCGCATCTGCGCACCTTTCAGATAGCACATCAAGAACCGGGTTGACCGGGTACTCGGTACCACCAGCACTTAAAAAAACCTGGTTCCGTAACGTTTTCATTTTTTTTAGTACCGACTTGGTACCGAAGTACCGGGTCTTTTGACAACACTACTACCTAATATAATCAGAGAGAGAAAAAACGCATATACACGGTGTAAATAAGAGATTGATTGTGTAGTTAGTCATTGATTTATAAGGAGTTTTCGCATAAGCTCAGTCAGTTGCGCTTTAAGAGCTTTGCTCTGTTTCCCTAGAATCTCTACATAATCCATCGACAATTTGAAGAAAGTTTTGTTTGTCTAAGAGGACCGAACGTCCACATATACTGTTTCAAGAGTGACAAACGCGAGTGTAAAAAATGATGCCAGTGAATCCGCTAAATTGTTCCGTAAGTCATTGCTGTGATTGACAGTGATAACTGCCCTGGGTGGAACGATCAGTGGTGGAAACAGTACTGAAAATTTGTACTTAAGTACAAGTACTGTTACATTGCTGAAATAATACTCAATTACAAGTAAAAGTACTGGTGTCAAAACAGTACTTAAAGGGTTAGTTCACCCAAAAATGAAAATTATGCCATTAATTACTCACCCTTGTGTTGTTCCAAACCCGTAAGACCTTCGTTCATCTTCGGAACACAATTTAAGATATTTTTGATGAAATCTAAGGGCTCTCTGACCCTCCCATAGACAGCAAGGTAACTACCACGTTCAACGTCCAGAAAAGTACCAAGATGATCGACAAAGTAGTCCGTGTGACATCAGTGGTTCAACTGTAAAGTTGTGAAGCTATGAGAATACTTTTTTTGCTCAAAGAAAACCAAAATAACAACTTTATTCCACATTTTCATCTCTACTGCGTCACTTTGGACGCACGTTCACGACAGCAGTGGTGGAAAGAGTACTGAAAATTTGTACTTAAGTACAAGTACTGTTACATTGCTGAAATAATACTCAATTACAAGTAAAAGTACTGGTGTCAAAACAGTACTTAAGTAAAAGTACAAAGTATTCCTCTCAAAAACTACTCAGAGTACTAGTTACTATACTACGGCGATATTTAATGAATTACCAAAAAATATGAATTCATATCAAAGATCTATGTGGATAATAGCTACTTTGAACAAAACCCACTTTTATCTTATTGACAAAGTACGTGATTTAGTGGTCATGGTACAGGAATTTCTAACTTCCAATACCTTGAAAAATATCAATATCAAAGTACCCGTGAACCGGAAGTTGCAACTGACTTCAGTGTTGTGATGTATTTCCAAGTGAAATGAAATATTGAATAAAGGGCGGGGTTTTATTGTAGTGCACCTCCTCTCCACCTCTTGCTCATAGCAGATTCACGGTTGGATAGGAGTGATTAAGAATATCTGCTTGTTACGTCTGACATCACGTTTCACCGCTGATGGGTCCTAACGCTCTGCCAGACGCTCCAAGAAAACAACAAACTGTGCTAATATACACCCACAATGTCATGTAATACTGAAAAATTATAACCCTAACCTTTATCTCCATACTGAAATCCCAGATGGCCTGACAGTGATTCAGCTAAAATATTAGTGTCTGCAACACTGTGAGCACGGAGACTGTAGTGTGCAAAGCAAATTCTAAAATGCTTAGCTTAAATATGTAATATTAAAGATTGTATAGGCTGTATTAAAGAGTGCTCATAAATGGCTGTTGAGATAGTATTCTCAAGTGAAATTAGTAGAGGCATGGACCTGGAAACAGCAGTCCTAACGTCATGACTTAACAAGAGGATTCTCCCCAAGCCGTCAAACTGACGTCATCAGAGCGAGAACGCCATTTCAGAGTGGAAGCAGATTTTTAGTTTTTGATTAAAGATTGACAGCAGACAAATAATTTTTTTGCACTAAAAAAGTAAGTAGCGTAATTTTTTTTTCAGGACGACTAATCATTTTCAATACCATTGGTAAAACTACCACATACTGTATACTGCCATATAGATATTTTAATATATATATAATTTTTTTTTTTTTTCAAGCTTATTATTTCAAGCTTTGAAATTGATTTAATCCAAGTCTTCTAAAAAGACACATTCGCTTTATATGATGAACAGATTTTAATATAGGCTTTTATTTGCATACACATAAATATTGATCAATTACCATTACAAAAATCTCAATCTTAAACATTTGCTCATTCTGTGTATTTGTGTCTTTAAAATAGGGTAACTTTGTTGCAAAAGCTTACAGCAGGAAGCTTGATTTCAAATTTGATTTCAAACTGAATTGAATTTACAAAAAATGACAAGTACACAGTCAGTAATAAAATTATGCAAATGACCTCAATTCAGTTGTATTGGAAAATATGACAACACTGAAATTTTATAAGCAGTGATTTAAGAGCCATATATGTTAGGCCTATTTATTTAGATAAATGGAACATCAGATGGCTTTGACCCTAATGTCTGTACAATGTAGTGATGCAGTTAGGCAGACTAGGATATTTATATGTACAAATCAGACAAATATCCCATTCCAAAACATTTCTAGCATAAACTTACATTGTAAAGAAATTAAGGTTCCATCTTTGATTGTTGAAAGACTTTCTGGTGCATTTCACTTACAGCCAATAACATTTCCAGTAGGATTTTCATTGGTCAGGCATTGATCTATTCTGAATGGTTGATAACTTTTTTTATTTTTTATTTTTATTTTTTATTATTTTTATTGTGGTTTTGCAGACATGAAGAACAAACAACAACAGACAAACATACCCTTCATATAACAACAATCTGTGCAATGAGTGAAATGAAGCACAAAAATATGACAAAAAAGGAGAATGACGGTATAAAAGACCTTATATCCTACAAAAAGTCATTAATGGTTGATTAACTTTTGACAACGTTTAATCCAGGAGCAAAGAGAAATCATTTCTACTTAAAGCACGGAGAGATCGTGATTGCACAGTCTGCTCACAAGCAATATCGGAGTGAGAGGACAGGCAGTTCAATTGTATAAGTTAGGCCTATTTGAGAGCTCGCGTCCAGTTTTCTGCAATTACATGACTGTGTTCATATGTTACAATAAAGCACCCGCCACATTTGCGCCGGAATGATTAAAATTATGCAGAATACCAGCAATCTCGTGCGGACTTTCAGACTGTAATTGACAGGTGGCGGATGCGTGTCAAACTCACTGTTGGAGAGGAAAGAGCGAGACGCAGCTTGTATCGGTGTATACTGTGGAAAATGAGTAATGGACCCGTGTCAGATATTTCAGTATATATCGGTATCAAAATATAGATATTTATGATAACACTACCATGTAGTTTGTTTCTCCAAACTTTGAGTCAATTACGCTGAGTAATGGAACCGTGTCAGATATTTCACACTGTCTGATCAGTTCTTCAAAACTTGCTGCGGCAATCAACATATCATAAATACTGACAAAGGAAAAAAGTGTGATGGACACAATACATGTAGTTTTTGCATTTAATGAAGAAAGCACATCACGGAGGTGTAAAATAAAGAGATACTGTAGATTGTTTAAATGTCCCTGGCAATGTTTTATTTACATTTATTTTTTGTATGCTCATGTTCTTTATGTATTCTGTCCATAGGAGCAACGGTTGCGCTATTTGAAGCAGCAGGAGCGACGGCAGCAGCAGACTGTGTCTGAGACCGAGAAACTACAGAGGTTAAAGGAGAGGGTGGAGAGTCAGGAAGCCAAACTCAAGAAGATCCGTGCCATGAGGGGCCAAGTGGACTACAGCAAAGTCATCAATGGCAACCTGTGTATGTCTCCATATGGCAACCTGACTTCAGCAATCATCCGAGTAGAAATGCTGCTAGCGATTGTGATGTGGCTATTTTGCGTGGCTGTATAAAGCCAGATTGCTTCATGTAAGCGTTTGCATGTGAGAGAGCAGTAAACTTACAACTACAAGTGCGATCACATGCACACATAAAAACACATGCCATAAGGTCAGGATTAGGTCTTTGCTAGTTTGTGAATTGTAATGATCTCACATAATGCCAAATACTCCCACACACGCAACTCCAGATGGGATTGTCCACTCCGCTGGAGATGAGTCTTTTAAGGGCTGTGTTTAAAATTTGATTTTTGTGGCTTGTTATCAGTACTTTATTGCAGAATGGTTAAGATTTTAAAAATTTTTCAGTTTTAACCCACAGCTGGGTGGTTTATCCATGTTGTGCCAGCATTTAGGCTGTATTATGTTGTTGACAAATGGTGAAAGCAATAAAAGTCAATTTTACTGTATAGAATATATCTGTTCAGCCTGCTAGTTTTGCATTATGCAAGAGCTCCTGTACAACATGTGCAGCCACACATTACATTTTCATTGAACATTAAATAATAATCCTATAGTAATAGAGAAAGTATGTCGGCTCATGTATGCCTGTGTTTGCACGCAAGTTCGCGTGTGTATAACTCAGCTGTGGTCTGTTAGCCGCAGAGATCGAGCACATCAGCGGGATGTTCCAGGACAAGCAGGCAGAGCTGCAGGCAGCCGTCTTGAGGGTGGATCAGCTCAGCCAGCAGCTGGAGGACCTGAGGAGAGGCAAACTAAATGGCTTGCAGACCCTCGGCGGTCAGGTCACTGGCACCGCTGCCCTGGAGCTCCGCAAACTGTACCAGGAGCTGCAGGTATGACCACACACTCAACTCAAGAGTTTAATTTCATACAAGAGATTTGTTGTGGTGATTTTTCACCATAAAATATTAAAAGAGCCTTGACCACTTTTAATAATGCAGTTTTTTTAGTATGTTGCATGTTGCAACAAAATTCTGCTGGTTTTGATATAGGACGCTTTCCAAAAGTAGGGTGTGAAATGTATAAATGACACCAGAAAAAAATTTTTGGCTGTTAAAATTAGTTAAAAACTTATGATGTTTGTGGTATAGAAACATGGAGTCAGCTATATCCATAGATATTGATTGTTTATTATTCTGTGTATGTTTTGAAATCCAGTAACTAGTTATTCCTCAAAAAAAAAAAAATCCATCCACTGGTCTCATGTCAGCATGACTTTTGTGATGGACTGTGTAGCAGCCAGGCAGTAAATCAGTTTGAAAGTGTGATTTGTGTCTAAAGCCCAAAGTATACTTAAGTTTTGACGTGAACACTTAGTGTATGCGTAAATCTAAACGGCATATACTGCATTTAGTATCCTTGCATGAACATAGGCACTTGATGCATACATACTAGAAAATTTAATCTTTGTCCTTTGTCTGCCCTGTTTCTCTCTAGGAGTTACGACTAATAAAATGTCTTTGTACTCTGTTAAACAAAAATTGCAGGTCTCTCTTAGCCCCCTCAGACAAGCGTTCATCAACACAGGCATCTGTTGTTTTTGTTGCAGTCTCAAGTAGTTTGTTGTTGTCCTGACTCTTAATTTCTGTTTTGACTGTGAAACAATGGCCAGGGCTAGTGTTGCCACCTTGTGGACCAACAAAAAAATTGTGGTTGGAAGTATGCACATACATACTATGCTGATGATGAAATTTATGTCATGCACGCTACCTAGTGTATGAGTTAAAACCAAAGTATAATTTGGGCTTAAGACTGAGACTAGCTCCTACAATGGTGTTCGATTGAGTGCTACAGCATTCCTATTGCTCAAACAGTAGAGAATGTTGCTAACAACTCCAGGGTCATGGATTCGATTCCCAAGGAATTCATAAGCTAATTAAATATATACCTAGAAAGAAAGTCACGTAGGAAAAAAAGCATCTGCTGAATGCATAAATGTAAATAAAGTGGTTTGGTACTTTTAAAGACCACAGCATGTATCCTATCACTTCCTGCTGTGAGTTCCCTCTCTTCAGTTGCTGTTTGTTTATGAAGTTGATTTCTCATTTTCTTCACTTCTAACCTCTTGTGTCGTTTCTGCTCTGTGCTGTCCATACGTGTATGTGTGTGTCTCTCTTTTCTCTTTCCTGTCCCTGTACTTTGATGTTGTGGGATTTGTGGGGGGGATTAGATGGAGTGAGAAAGCCTCCCGGCCCCTGGAAGGTCTCTGATTTAGACATCATTGTGGACCCGATTGCTCCACCCCCTCCAGAGCCCCGCCCAGGCCCTGGGGCTCCACCCCCATTTACCGGCTCTGCGGCAGGGTCGGACAGCGCTTCTCGTGAGTGGGAAGGTGTCTGATAGAGGGCAGGAGGAATGGCCTATGAACCTTATTCAGTGTATTGAGCAGGATCAAAGCAGTCTTAAGCCTGTGTTATACTTTCCGCGTGAGCAATCCGGACACGTACGCGGACTACTTATATTTATACTACAGTAAGCATAAGCTGATGGTCCGCTCTGTGGACGTGTTCCATCCACGCATAGTAGATTGGCTTGAACAATAAACAAACATGTGAACAAAGAATTGCCCAGAGTTATTGCACATCTGGCTGTCTTTATATTGTTTTATCGACGGATTTTACAGGTTCGAGTAGCAAGGAGCTTTTTCACACAGCCTGCGCATGCGCAGTTGCCTACTGCAAAAAATGGGAGGCACGCGGATGTCCGCTCAGAGCCTCCGCGCACACTCTCCGATGACGATTTTTACGTCACGCATACCATAGCGGACCCTAGCGGACGCGGAAAGTATAACACCGGCTTTAGTGTGGCTTGTTACTGTCACCCATATGACTCTTGCTTCCATTGAAGTTCAAAATGCTCCTTAGATCATCTCAAATCATGCTGGAGAACATGATTATCAGGTTTAACAGAAAATGGTGGAGTTCACACAGCTTGATTGCTGCTGTAATTAAAGCAAAAGGACTAACCAAATGCTAAGACATTTTGAAATTCATGGGGGTTTTTTTTCATTTAAATGTTTTACGCCATTGTTATGCTGATAATATTCACTACCGTTCAGAAGTTTGGGTTGATAAGATTTTTTTTTATGCTCACCATGCTGCATTTATTTAATCAAAAATACAACAAAACGAGTAATATTGTATAGTGTTTGGTTCGAGTCCACCTAATCTTTACAAATACAAAAACGCAATGTCCATTTAAATGTAACAAAAGCAAACCTTTATTGTATCTTGCCATTTAGATTTTTGATTGATAATTAGTGTCCTGCTTTGCTTAGCAAACTTAAAGTCATGTAACAGAAGTTATGGCTGAATTGATTTATGTATTGTGACATATTTTAGAGTGAAACCGGTTTTGAGAATGTGAAAAATTAAAGGGCAAGACTTGACTTTGTTCATCGTTAAAGTAAATGTATAAATTCAAGGGTGGGGGCAAAGGAGTAGGTATCTTGGTGAATGGGACCTTAAGAGCAGAAAATGCACCTTTTATCTCAATAAAAAAACAAGCTTTAATATCATTTTTACGATTTTTAATGAAATATGAATTTTGTATAATCAAGATTAGTTTATGTCTGCTTATTCTATTCATCAGTGTTTGAACCATTAAAGAAGAAACTGCATTTTAATTTCTGGGTTAAAAAAGAAAGAAAGAAAAATGAATGGACGCCAAAGTATACGGACCCCTTAGACAGGGCATTTAGATTTTTTTTTCTTGGATGAAAATGAGACAGGATAAATCTAGTCTGTACAATAGCACACACTGTGTATAAAATCCCTACATATACTTTACATAAGTCACAGCCAGTTCACACCTGTTTTATTTTTGAATGCATTTATAGTTACATTAATTACAATAAATTACATTATGTAAGGAATAATTGATGACAGGCCGTTAAATTATTAGAAAATAATGCACACCCAAGGTGATTTTGGACCCATAAAAACTATTGTCGCAAATATGTTAGAAAAATTATTTTTCTTTGAAGCTAGAAACTGCCACTAATACAAAAGCAAAAAATAATAAACTAATGTAATGAAACATACTCAAGCTTACTGTAGGCAAGTAAACACTCCAAGTATTACTTACAAGCTAAATGATAAATAAATATATTACTCAAAAATACAAATTAAATAGTTTTTTTTTAGTTTTTCAGATAGTAGCCTAGTAAAGGCTTCTAGAAATTGCCTAATAAAGGAGAAAGCCTCCCGGCCCCTGGAAGGTCTCTGATTTAGACATCATTGTGGACCCGATTGCTCCACCCCCTCCAGAGCCCCGCCCAGGCCCTGGGGCTCCACCCCCATTTACCGGCTCTGCGGCAGGGTCGGACAGCGCTTCTCGTGAGTGGGAAGGTGTCTGATAGAGGGCAGGAGGAATGGCCTATGAACCTTATTCAGTGTATTGAGCAGGATCAAAGCAGTCTTAAGCCTGTGTTATACTTTCCGCGTGAGCAATCCGGACACGTACGCGGACTACTTATATTTATACTACAGTAAGCATAAGCTGATGGTCCGCTCTGTGGACGTGTTCCATCCACGCATAGTAGATTGGCTTGAACAATAAACAAACATGTGAACAAAGAATTGCCCAGAGTTATTGCACATCTGGCTGTCTTTATATTGTTTTATCGACGGATTTTACAGGTTCGAGTAGCAAGGAGCTTTTTCACACAGCCTGCGCATGCGCAGTTGCCTACTGCAAAAAATGGGAGGCACGCGGATGTCCGCTCAGAGCCTCCGCGCACACTCTCCGATGACGATTTTTACGTCACGCATACCATAGCGGACCCTAGCGGACGCGGAAAGTATAACACCGGCTTTAGTGTGGCTTGTTACTGTCACCCATATGACTCTTGCTTCCATTGAAGTTCAAAATGCTCCTTAGATCATCTCAAATCATGCTGGAGAACATGATTATCAGGTTTAACAGAAAATGGTGGAGTTCACACAGCTTGATTGCTGCTGTAATTAAAGCAAAAGGACTAACCAAATGCTAAGATATTTTGAAATTCATGGGTTTTTTTTTTCATTTAAATGTTTTACGCCATTGTTATGCTGATAATATTCACTACCGTTCAGAAGTTTGGGTTGATAAGATTTTTTTTTATGCTCACCATGCTGCATTTATTTAATCAAAAATACAACAAAACGAGTAATATTGTATAGTGTTTGGTTCGAGTCCACCTAATCTTTACAAATACAAAAACGCAATGTCCATTTAAATGTAACAAAAGCAAACCTTTATTGTATCTTGCCATTTAGATTTTTGATTGATAATTAGTGTCCTGCTTTGCTTAGCAAACTTAAAGTCATGTAACAGAAGTTATGGCTGAATTGATTTATGTATTGTGACATATTTTAGAGTGAAACCGGTTTTGAGAATGTGAAAAATTAAAGGGCAAGACTTGACTTTGTTCATCGTTAAAGTAAATGTATAAATTCAAGGGTGGGGGCAAAGGAGTAGGTATCTTGGTGAATGGGACCTTAAGAGCAGAAAATGCACCTTTTATCTCAATAAAAAAACAAGCTTTAATATCATTTTTACGATTTTTAATGAAATATGAATTTTGTATAATCAAGATTAGTTTATGTCTGCTGTGTTTGAACCATTACAGAAGAAACTGCATTTTAATTTCTGGGTTAAAAAAGAAAGAAAGAAAAATGAATGGACGCCAAAGTATACGGACCCCTTAGACAGGGCATTTAGATTTTTTTTTCTTGGATGAAAATGAGACCGTGAGGGATAAATCTAGTCTGTACAATAGCACACACTGTGTATAAAATCCCTACATATACTTTACATAAGTCACAGCCAGTTCACACCTGTTTTATTTTTGAATGCATTTATAGTTACATTAATTACAATAAATTACATTATGTAAGGAATAATTGATGACAGGCCGTTAAATTATTAGAAAATAATGCACACCCAAGGTGATTTTGGACCCATAAAAACTATTGTCGCAAATATGTTAGAAAAATTATTTTTCTTTGAAGCTAGAAACTGCCACTAATACAAAAGCAAAAAATAATAAACTAATGTAATGAAACATACTCAAGCTTACTGTAGGCAAGTAAACACTCCAAGTATTACTTACAAGCTAAATGATAAATAAATATATTACTCAAAAATACAAATTAAATAGTTTTTTTTTAGTTTTTCAGATAGTAGCCTAGTAAAGGCTTCTAGAAATTGCCTAATAAAGACATTTCACATTCATTAATATTCCCTGTATACATTAAATGTAGATGATTCTTATTAAAGTTAAGTTATTCAGTCAAGAGCAGTGAGTGGTTTTCTCCTTTTCTTTTGTTTGATTAACATTTATGATGCAGTCGGCGGCTGCAGATTACGCTGTTGCTTTTAGATCTGAGGCATAGATCAAAAATTGACACATGTAGTTCTCCCAACTGTTCAAGTTTACTTAAGAGAAAACCGACTGCATTTACATGAATAGTCTCCAAGATGGGCATTTTGACATAACTTTTAGTGTAAGTGTGTAGCAATAACAGAACTTAAGCGAAAGAGAACTCGGCATTCGCACACTGACTGAGAGGCACGTTCTGTGAGCGCGCTTTCGGTGTGTGAGCACAGAAACCCGTCGGCTTTCAAGTACTGGACAAGACTTAAAAACACATGCAAAATACTGAACATCACTTTTGTAATAATGCATTGAATCAGTGACATTTCCGTCAAATGTCCCTGGACTTGGACATATTTTCAGAGTCCGAAAGGCTCGAGTCCGAGTCAAGTCAGAGTAAAAATGCATCCAAGTCCGTGACAAGAATATTTAAATATATTTTAACATGTAATTATTTCTGGGATGGCAAAGCTGAAATTTCAGCAGCAATTTCTCCAGTTTTCAGTGTCACATGATCCTTCAGAAATCATTCTGATATGGTGATTTGGTGCTAAGAAACATTATTATTATTATTATTATTATTAACTGTTTTATACCACTTTTTTTGTGGAAACCATAATACTTTTTTCAGGTTTCATTAATTAATTTAATATTCAAAAGAGCAGCATTTATCTGAAATGGAAATATTTTGTAACATTGTAGAAGTCTTTACTTTTACCTTTTTAATTTAATATGTGCTTGTTGAATGAATATATTGATTTATTTTAAAAAATCTTTGAAAAGTAGTAATTCCTTGTTTATGAAGTTGATTTCTCATTTTCTTCACTTCTAACCTCTTGTGTCGTTTCTGCTCTGTGCTGTCCATACGTGTATGTGTGTGTCTCTCTTTTCTCTTTCCTGTCCCTGTACTTTGATGTTGTGGGATTTGTGGGGGGGATTAGATGGAGTGAGAAAGCCTCCCGGCCCCTGGAAGGTCTCTGATTTAGACATCATTGTGGACCCGATTGCTCCACCCCCTCCAGAGCCCCGCCCAGGCCCTGGGGCTCCACCCCCATTTACCGGCTCTGCGGCAGGGTCGGACAGCGCTTCTCGTGAGTGGGAAGGTGTCTGATAGAGGGCAGGAGGAATGGCCTATGAACCTTATTCAGTGTATTGAGCAGGATCAAAGCAGTCTTAAGCCTGTGTTATACTTTCCGCGTGAGCAATCCGGACACGTACGCGGACTACTTATATTTATACTACAGTAAGCATAAGCTGATGGTCCGCTCTGTGGACGTGTTCCATCCACGCATAGTAGATTGGCTTGAACAATAAACAAACATGTGAACAAAGAATTGCCCAGAGTTATTGCACATCTGGCTGTCTTTATATTGTTTTATCGACGGATTTTACAGGTTCGAGTAGCAAGGAGCTTTTTCACACAGCCTGCGCATGCGCAGTTGCCTACTGCAAAAAATGGGAGGCACGCGGATGTCCGCTCAGAGCCTCCGCGCACACTCTCCGATGACGATTTTTACGTCACGCATACCATAGCGGACCCTAGCGGACGCGGAAAGTATAACACCGGCTTTAGTGTGGCTTGTTACTGTCACCCATATGACTCTTGCTTCCATTGAAGTTCAAAATGCTCCTTAGATCATCTCAAATCATGCTGGAGAACATGATTATCAGGTTTAACAGAAAATGGTGGAGTTCACACAGCTTGATTGCTGCTGTAATTAAAGCAAAAGGACTAACCAAATGCTAAGATATTTTGAAATTCATGGGTTTTTTTTTTCATTTAAATGTTTTACGCCATTGTTATGCTGATAATATTCACTACCGTTCAGAAGTTTGGGTTGATAAGATTTTTTTTTATGCTCACCATGCTGCATTTATTTAATCAAAAATACAACAAAACGAGTAATATTGTATAGTGTTTGGTTCGAGTCCACCTAATCTTTACAAATACAAAAACGCAATGTCCATTTAAATGTAACAAAAGCAAACCTTTATTGTATCTTGCCATTTAGATTTTTGATTGATAATTAGTGTCCTGCTTTGCTTAGCAAACTTAAAGTCATGTAACAGAAGTTATGGCTGAATTGATTTATGTAGTGTGACATATTTCAGAGTGAAACAGGTTTTAGAATGTGACAAATTAAAGGGCGGTACTTGACTTTATTAATCGTTAAAGTAAATATATAAATTAAAGGGTGGGGGTAAAGGAGTAGGTATCTTGGTGAATGGGACCTTAAGAGCAGAAAATGCACCTTTTATCTCAATAAAAAAACAAGCTTTAATATCATTTTTACGATTTTTAATGAAATATGAATTTTGTATAATCAAGATTAGTTTATGTCTGCTGTGTTTGAACCATTACAGAAGAAACTGCATTTTAATTTCTGGGTTAAAAAAGAAAGAAAGAAAAATGAATGGACGCCAAAGTATACGGACCCCTTAGACAGGGCATTTAGATTTTTTTTTCTTGGATGAAAATGAGACCGTGAGGGATAAATCTAGTCTGTACAATAGCACACACTGTGTATAAAATCCCTACATATACTTTACATAAGTCACAGCCAGTTCACACCTGTTTTATTTTTGAATGCATTTATAGTTACATTAATTACAATAAATTACATTATGTAAGGAATAATTGATGACAGGCCGTTAAATTATTAGAAAATAATGCACACCCAAGGTGATTTTGGACCCATAAAAACTATTGTCGCAAATATGTTAGAAAAATTATTTTTCTTTGAAGCTAGAAACTGCCACTAATACAAAAGCAAAAAATAATAAACTAATGTAATGAAACATACTCAAGCTTACTGTAGGCAAGTAAACACTCCAAGTATTACTTACAAGCTAAATGATAAATAAATATATTACTCAAAAATACAAATTAAATAGTTTTTTTTTAGTTTTTCAGATAGTAGCCTAGTAAAGGCTTCTAGAAATTGCCTAATAAAGACATTTCACATTCATTAATATTCCCTGTATACATTAAATGTAGATGATTCTTATTAAAGTTAAGTTATTCAGTCAAGAGCAGTGAGTGGTTTTCTCCTTTTCTTTTGTTTGATTAACATTTATGATGCAGTCGGCGGCTGCAGATTACGCTGTTGCTTTTAGATCTGAGGCATAGATCAAAAATTGACACATGTAGTTCTCCCAACTGTTCAAGTTTACTTAAGAGAAAACCGACTGCATTTACATGAATAGTCTCCAAGATGGGCATTTTGACATAACTTTTAGTGTAAGTGTGTAGCAATAACAGAACTTAAGCGAAAGAGAACTCGGCATTCGCACACTGACTGAGAGGCACGTTCTGTGAGCGCGCTTTCGGTGTGTGAGCACAGAAACCCGTCGGCTTTCAAGTACTGGACAAGACTTAAAAACACATGCAAAATACTGAATATCACTTTTGTAATAATGCATTGAATCAGTGACATTTCCGTCAAATGTCCCTGGACTTGGACATATTTTCAGAGTCCGAAAGGCTCGAGTCCGAGTCAAGTCAGAGTAAAAATGCATCCAAGTCCGTGACAAGAATATTTAAATATATTTTAACATGTAATTATTTCTGGGATGGCAAAGCTGAAATTTCAGCAGCAATTTCTCCAGTTTTCAGTGTCACATGATCCTTCAGAAATCATTCTGATATGGTGATTTGGTGCTAAGAAACATTATTATTATTATTAACTGTTTTATACCACTTTTTTTGTGGAAACCATAATACTTTTTTCAGGTTTCATTAATTAATTTAATGTTCAAAAGAGCAGCATTTATCTGAAATGGAAATATTTTGTAACATTGTAGAAGTCTTTACTTTTACCTTTTTAATTTAATATGTGCTTGTTGAATGAATATATTGATTTATTTTAAAAAATCTTTGAAAAGTAGTAATTCCTAATGAAAAATGTATTCAACTAAAATTTCCAAATAATACAATTTTCCACTGATCTCAGACTTTGGTCTCCAATGTATCTTGTTCTAAGCAAACTGAATATTGTTGTGTCTCTCTTACAGAGATTATTTAACTAACTTTAACTAAGCAGTAGGATTAATTCTGTTAAAGTTCCTAACCACTTTTAAAAATTGCAGAGTGGCAGTTTTCCAGACAAAAAATGGCTTAAGGCAGAAGTCAAAATTACACGTTTTTCATAAGCAACGGAACCTTAATGATATACTAGATCTCTCTCTGTCTGGTCAATTACATTCACCCTTGTTTATTTGCTCTTTACTGCAATTCAATTCTTTACTGCGAGTCAAAAGCTGCTGATCCTGTCTTTTGGGAGTATGCGTGTATATGATTGTCTGTGTAAGAATGTAATGAGGTAGATTGTGCGAGGTCTCATGAGTGAGAGTGAATGTGTATGCTGGGATGAGAAACTCTACCCTGATAAGGTTCACTGGGCTCTCTACCTCTTCCTCTGTACATTTAAACTCACTAAATTACTGGCTCCATTTCATCATTCTCTAACATTCAGCTAACTTGTTGACTTAACACAAAATACACACACATAATAGACAGAGAAGTTAAGTCTGTAGAGTGGTGGCTTAGTCATTTTGTTTTAATCAGTCTTTCTCTTTGTTTGTTTTGAGTTTCATATGGACTGACTTTTAAGCTCTGTTGAAGTCAAGATACCATGCAGTTGACTGAGCTTACAATTAAAGTAAAATATAGAAGTCATCTGAGCTGTTCTTGTGAGGAGCCCCTCTCATTTCTATTCCAGACCAACTTGTTTTTCATATGCAAGACTGTTATACTTCATGTCTCCTAACTCAAGATCATACCTACTAGACATCTTTAGAAGTCATGTCTAGTATATTAGCAATGCAGTTCGTCACTGTTCTAATAATAAATGTGCTTGTGAGGGGTTCTGTCATGTCTGATCTTGTATTAATGCTTAATTTCTTTCCATTTTCAGCAAATGATGCCGGTTGGCCCACCCTCAACAAGAGCAACACATCAGTCAAAGCACCTGACTGGAAGGAGTCTGGAACAGACACTAGCATTAAAACAGCATCACCTGCAGGCACTCCTGGAGATAAGGTACGTCTAACTTAGACCCACGCACACAAATAAATTGCTGTCTTATAATTTTACCGTGATTTTACTGTCTGTTTTAAATTCAGGATTCCAGTCAAATGGGCTCAGCTCCTCCTCTCAATAAGCCCCAGCCTCCCCCATACGGAGCCCATACCAGCAACCACCCCCTCTCATCTGCCAACTCGGGTTCCACCAGCTCTTTGGACCGACGCAAGGATGTTCCTCTCAGACCGGTGCCCAGCCTACCCACCAACCCACCGCCGCAGCCGGCCTGGCCCCGTGTTCCCCCTGCACCCACCGGCTCTTCCTCTCAGCAGATCCAGCAGCGCATTTCTGTGCCCCCCAGTCCCACCTTCCAGCCCAGTCCACCCTTTTTCCCCCCCAGTGAGAGGCCAGACGCTCCTCTGGCTGTAGCGGTAAGGCCGTTCATCCCAGATAAGGGCTCCAGACCGCAGTCACCCAGAAAAGGCCCAGCCACTATGAACTCAAGCTCCATCTACCATATGTACTTACAACAAGCAGCCCCCAAAAACTACCCTCTGAACATCAAGCCCGCAGTCAAAGCAGGTACACATCAGAAAATGATTTAATATTAAACTTCAAATTTCTACTTATCCTGACAGTATATGCTCGGTTAAAAAGAAGTTAAAAGAACCTTCAGTCTTTTGTTACAGGGAGTTCACATCAGGATTGGGTATTGATACAGATCTTAAGTGTAAAATTATACAGGGGGACTTCTAACTTGATGCTTAGTAAAAATATTAGGTAACACTTTATTTTAAAGACCAATTCTCACTATTAACTAGTTGCATATTACTAGCATACTGGCTTTTTATAAGAACTTATAAAACTCATATTAATGCCTTATTCTGTTTGACCTTATTCTAGATCCCTTAGATCTTCCCCAACAAAAACTTTAAAACTAAACTTAACTATGCTACTAACTATTAATAAGCAGTAAATTAGGAGTTTGAGGAAAACTTAATTGATATTTAATAATTAGTGAATATGTGTTCCCTAATCTAAAGTGTTGCCAAATATTATATTAATAAAATGTATATTCTTTGAAATATTTAAATTAATTATATAATAATTTATATTTAAAATGTTTACATAAAAATAAAAATAAAAATATATTTTTATATTTACTTTAATTGTAAATTAATGTACATTTTTATTTTAAAATATAATATTAAAAATATATAATTCTATATTTATGTAATTACAAATATATAATTGTGAAACAAAAAAAGAAAATAACTGTGCAGTTCAACAGATAAAGTCCTCAACATAACCAGAAACAGCTCCGTAGATAACAAATGATGTCAGTTTTAAGTGTTTAAAACGGTTTATAATAATGTGTAAAATTGTTGTAAAATTATAAATTAAAAATAAACGCACATGAAAACTATACTAGAGAAAAGGTCTGGATGCACCTATAAATATGCATAAAGTAAAAGGTCGCTCTTGGGATTCTAAGAAAGTATTATTCATGCAGTAATAAAATAAAAAAAATCTAAGTTTTTACACAGGCAATGTTCATTTTGAACCCGTCTGGTGTTTTTAAAAAAGGCTAGATGCAGTGCGACAGAATGGAGCAGAATGCTGGTAACTTGACACAACGTCTTTAAAAATGCACCACTCACAGCAAGAAAGATTGAAAAAACAGCTAGAAACATTGCAACGATCAACAATGCCCTTGTAGCAAAAATAATTGGACAGATGCAATAGAATGTACTATAGTATGTGAATGAAGTGGTTTATTTCTTAAGTGTGTTTTATTTGTGAGTGCAGTGTAATTGACTATTTTGTTCTTTTTCTCTCCAGTATATGGTAAGCCAGTCCTGCCTCCCAGCTCTACGCCCCCCTCTCCCTTACTTTTTGGGGGCTCTGGGGCCTTTCCCGCCCTGCAGGGTCCAGGAGGAGACATGTTGGATGTTGAGCTGGACTTTGATGGTCAAATGATGGGTGTTCCTGAGCCACCCCCACCCAACGTGGACCACATCCCGCGACCTCTCAGCCCCACTAAACTCACACCTATGGTGCACTCCCCTATGCGCTACCAGAGCGATGCTGAGCTGGAGGCCTTGCGCAAGAAACTGGCCAATGCTCCACGACCTCTTAAGAAACGCAGCTCGATTACGGAACCAGAGGGTCCCAATGGGCCTAACATCCAGAAACTTCTCTATCAGCGGTTCAACACCCTGGCTGGAGGGATGGAAGGAGGAATGGGTGATGTGAGTGGAGGTGGAGGAGTGACTCCATTCTACCAGCCCTCTACGACCACAGGTGAAATGCTCTTTGATGCAGACAATGGGAATCAACTTTCAGAAACACCCATCGTGCCCTCAGAGGGCGCTGTTGCTGAGGATGTTGTCCCGCAAGGTGATGCCAATGATAATGAGCCCCCAGAGCAAGTGGCTGAGACGCTGACCCCTCCAGCACCAGAACCGTCAGAAGACAATAACAATAATCCTGCAGAAACATTAGCAATTTTGCCGAGTCCTGTAGCTGAGGCCAGCACACCTGAAGAAGCAGACACCTGTCCCTCATCCCAGCCCACGGTCAGTTTACTGATACACAGCCTCACACAAACTCAGCCTTGTGTATGAATCATTTTTAGTTCTAAACCCATTTAGATTTCCTTTCCTGCACTGCATATTATAATAATAATCATCATCATTATTGCATAATAATATATTGTTATTTAGATAGTATATTACAATTCAGTCTAAAGATTATATATATATATATATATATATATATATATATATATATATATTTATTTAATTTTGGTGACTTGAAATTTAAATCAGAATGCCACCTTTTCTTATCTCTCAAATCTTAAAGTATTACATTAGTTATTTTTAATTGCTTGTGTGTGTGTGTGTGTGTGTGTAAAAACTACATTTAAAACCATTAGTAAAATATTTACTAACCCATTTCAAATTACAAATGAGAAAGTATCTGATTAAATTAAGAAATTTGTTTATGCCTATTTTGGTCACATCTAGTAGTTTTCTCATCATTCAGGTAACAACGCAAATGTAACAGACATACTACACTACTGTTCAAAAGTTTGGTGTCAGTAATAGAAAATAATACTTTTATTCCAGTCTTCAGTGTCACATGATCCTTCAGAAATCATTTTAATATGCTGATTTGCTGATTATCAATATTTAAAACCGTTGGGTAATTTTTTTTTTCAGGATTCTTTGATGAATAGAAAGATCCAAAGATCAGCATTTATCTGAAATAAAAAACTTTTGTAACATTATACACTATTCCATTCAGTATCATTTTTATTAATTTTTTGGGAAAGAAATTATAGAAATGAATACTTTTATTTAGCAAGGATGCTTAAAATTGATCAAAAGTGATGATAAAGGCATTTATAATGTTACAAAAGATTTCGAATTCAGATAAATAGTGTTCATATCGATATCGGAATTATATCGTATCGACCGAAATGAAGAAATATATTGTGATATCAATTTTGGCCATATCGTCCAGCCCTATATTCAGCTAGAATACATTAAACTGAGGAATAGTGGCAGTAAAGACATTTATAATGTTACAGAAGATTTCTATTTCAAATAAATGTTGTTCTTTTAAACGTTCTATTCATCACAAAAAACCTGAATTTTTTTTTATCATGGTTAACTCAATATTAAGCAGCAAAACTATAAGAAACGATAATAAACAATTCTTGATCAGCAAATCAGCATATTAGAATGATTTCTGAAGGATCATGTGACACTGAAGACTGGAGCAATGACTGCTGAAAATTCAGCTTTGCCATCACAGGAATAAATAAAATTTTAAAAGAGATTGAAAAAGAAAAAAATATTGTAATTTGTAGTAATAATTCACATTATTACTGTTAAGCCTTCTTTCAAAAACATGAAAAAATTCACCCCACACTTTTGAACGTGGTGTAAGTGTGCTACATTGTTCTATGTCCAAATACACTCATTTCGACAGCAGTATAAATATATGAAATGTCACTTATGTTCACAGTTGCCTTTCTAGTTTCCATCTCCTCTCACAATGACAATTGCTCTCATTTGCTGTATCAGAAAGCCACATTAAGTTGTACAATAAGGCCTTGTTAATGTGTTTACATCATTAGTAGCTGATATAGGTTAGATATAACAGTGTCTGAACAAACTATTTAGATTATATTGCTTCCAACAGTGTGGAGGATGATCGGTACTAAAGAGCAGATTTGAAAAGCAAATCAGATTTTGTGCTGTGTGAACAAAGCTTGATGGTCCATATCCTCAACAGGGCAAACGCACGAACCTAAAGAAACCCGACTCGGAGCGGACGGGTCACGGCCTTAGAGTGAAGTTCAACCCACTCGCTCTGCTGCTCGATGCCACACTGGAGGGCGAGTTTGACCATGTACAAAGGATAATCTATGAGGTATGTCATGTGAACACACTTTACACACTGCTTTATTTTGCCCATTTTTACTGAACAAGTTCTTATTTAATTCCTCTCATTTTAAAGGTTGACAATCCCAGCACCCCTAATGATGAGGGCATCACACCCCTCCATAACGCAGTGTGTGCCGGACACCACCACATCGTCAAGTTCCTGCTGGACTTTGGTGTTAATGTGAATGCAGCTGACAGTGATGGCTGGTGAGGACACTTTGATGGGTCTGTCAGTGTGAAACAGATTGATCAGTCTGTTCAAACTAACAGGTGTTGTGTAGACACCCACTGACATGTGTTTGTGTGTGTAGGACGCCCTTGCATTGTGCTGCCTCCTGTAACAGCGTGCACCTGTGTAAGATACTGGTGGAGTCTGGTGCTGCCATCTTTGCCACCACTATCAGCGATGTAGAGACGGCAGCAGACAAATGTGAGGAGATGGAGGAGGGTTACATCCAGTGCTCACAGTTTCTCTATGGTAAGAGTGCCTTTTCCTCAGAATGATTTTGTGCTCTCATACCGTCCATTTTGAGAACTCAGTTGAATCTAATGTGAAAGTGGAGGCAGTTTTTGGGATCAAGTCTAAATGCAAGTTACTCTACAAAAGACTGAGAGACTTAAGACACAATTTATGAAAATCTCTGTATAAGATTCAAGATTCAAGATTTTTTATTTGTCACATACATGGTTATATAGAGAATATATGACCAGCAGTGAAATGTAAGTCAGGTCCACTCCATGGACAGTACAATTATTAAAGAATGCAAACACACGAAATTTATATATAAATATAGGTATGGAAAAAGTAAGATAAAAAAATAAGAATAAAATAAAACTGTAGATATAAAATATACTGTAGACTTAATAAATATTAAGATGAGCAGGAATGTACAAGCGAAGAATGTGCAAACAGGTTGTACAGGGTAGTTACATAGCACCAATAGAGGTAAAAAAGTAAATAAATAAAATATTACAGAAATTGCTGTGTGCAAGTGACAATGTCAGTATATTAAGTGTCTTACTGATAATTAAGTGAAGTCATGTTGATGTTAAGAGACTGAGTTTGAGTTTAGGAGCCTGATGGCCTGGGGGAAGAAGCTCCTCCTAAGTCTCTCGGTTTTTGCCATCAGGCTACGGAAGCGCTTACCAGATGGCAGCAAAATGAAAAGAGTTACCAGGGTGGTTGGAGTCCTTGATGATTTTAACAGCTCTGCTTTTACAGCGTTTGAGGTAGATGTCCTGTAGAGAGGGGAGAGCAGACCCTGATGACAATATCAAACCAAAAAAGAAAATGCTTTTTTACAAACACAAATAAAGCTACAAATGAATAAAAGGCTACATATACAGATAACTTCACTTTGATATTTACTGATATTATAGTTTTTTTGTATAAATGTCATTGAATGTTTTTGCCAAGTTCTCATTATATTTACACTGCTTTAACCAGCAGATGTCCTCAGAGTACAGAGTTTAGAGTGCTTAGAAATGGGAATCACCTGATTCAAAAATTTAAAAAGCCTCACTTTTTTCATCACTACTTGCCCATTGTCCAGCTTTTAGGCGTAATCAATGTAAGAATTCTCCAGAAATCCCATTAACATATCAAGAACACTACCATTCCAAAGTTTTGAGTCTGTGTGTGTGTGTGTGTGTGTGTGTGTGTGTATATCTCTATATATATATATATATAAGAAATGCATTTATTCAGCAAGGACACATAAAATGTATAAAAAGTGACAGTAAAGACAGTTTGACAAAAGATTTCTATTCTTTCTATTCTGAAAAAGTATCAGATTTTCTACATAAATATCAAGCAGCACAACTGTTTTCACTGATAATAAGAAATGTTTCTTGAGCATCAAATCAGCGTATTAGAATGATTTCTGAAGGATCATGTGACACTGAAGACTCGTTTAAAATTCAGCTTTACCATCGCAGGAATAAATTGCATTTAAAAATATATTAAGATAGAAAACATTTATTTTAATCTTTCTAATATTTGACTATTTTTGATCAGATAAATGCAGACATGGTGAGCTTTTATAAATATTTAAAAAATCTTACCGACCCTAAACTTTTCAAAAGTAATGTACGTTGATAAATAGTATTACTCAGTACTCACCAGTATAATTAGATGTCATTGTTTTTTTGTGTGGTGCATATGTTAATGCGGTAAAATCATACTGAATGAGATATTACCTTGCCTTCTCTCTGTGTTTACAGGTGTGCAGGAGAAGTTGGGAGTGATGAATAAGGGAGTTGTGTATGCGCTGTGGGAGTATGAGGCTCAGAGCGCAGATGAGCTTTCCTTTCAGGAGGGTGATGCCATTACTGTCCTACACAGGAAGGACGATACCGAGACAGAGTGGTGGTGGAGTAAACTCAATGACAAAGAGGGCTATGTGCCACGGAACCTATTAGGGGTAGGTGCACACATGGGATATAGCAGTAGAGTATCTCTTATTATGTATTCCTGCGATGCAAACCTGAAGTTTCAGCAGCCATTACTCTATTTTCAGTGTCACATAATCCTTCAGAAATTATTCTAATATGATGATTTGCTGCTCAAGAAACATTTCTTGTTATTATCAGTTGTGCTGCTAAATATTTTTGTGGAAACCGTAAAGGTTTATTGATGAATAACAAGTTCAAAAGAACAGCATTTATTTGAAATCGAAATCTTTTGTAACAATATAAATATCTTTCACTTTTGATCAGTTTAATGAATCCTCCTTGAATATATATTTTTAAATAATTTTTTTTATTTGATTCTCTGTAGCTTTACCGCAGAATAAAACCATGTCAGAGGTCTCTGGCGTAACTCTCTCGTGGGTGACCGAACGGACTGATGTCTTTCACCTCTATGTGCCACTTGGACCACAGAAGGGCTGAAGCTGCTAAACCCTGAACCTGGAGGCACTATTAACCGCACTACTCAAACACACTCTCCAGCGAGCACCAGGCCAAACAAGCAGCCTCAGGTTTCTCTGTCTGCCCCCATCAGCTCAGCCACCAGGCCTCCGTATCTCCCACTCCACTCCTCGCACGCTCTCTTGTATCCATGTTAAATGTATTATAGCTGTACATCACACTTTGGGGATCAAGCACTAATCACTAACAAGAGCTTTTCTCTATTTGTAGTTGCTTACCCATGATGCTTTGCAGAGAAGACCAGGGCAGGCAGTGCTCTGTCAGAGAGAGAGATTCTCTATACTTGGAATTGAACTGGATGAATGAGAGCTGAGGTTATGTAAGCTTAAAACAAAGGACTTGTGTGAATTTTATAGCTTATATCTACAAAAATGAGTGTATATGAGAGCAGAGAACAAAAATATAAATAGTTTGCGATTATTCTGATCTATGACTGAGGAATCCCATAAACTGATGGGCATGCATATGATTCATAAAGGTGCATATAAGTGACTACGGGAAGACTACTGTAATGAATGCTTGTAAAGTAAGCTGCGTTCATGGTTTCCGCAAAATGGTTGTTTTCTCAACTCAGAACAAAGCCAGCATTAAAAACGACCAAAACAAGCGCAATAAAGATACAAGTATAATTCTTTTGGATTCGTCTCCCATTATGGACACTGGGTGGCAGTACAAGACCTTTTGACAGCAATTTAAAGAGTGGATTTTTTTTCCTCCAAAGCCTATGCTTTTTGTTAATGCAAAGAAAAAGAACTCCGTGTAAAGAAATAAAGCCTAGAATACTTGATATAAAATGCGAAGAGATCTGGGGAAGAAAAGTCTCTTGAGCTGAGTCTCTTGGGGAAGGAGAAAAAAAAAGAAAAAAAAAAAGCACCCTTGAGATTATGGTTTCTCAAAGGCAAATAATGACCTTGTTAGTCTACCTATAAAATAACCTTAAAGTGCAGGGATTATCCTACGTTATAAACGCCACCAAATTAACAGGTCTGTAAATACAAACCAAGCCTCCAAAATAACGCTAGAACACCACCTAAACTGCCTTTGTTTCTGGCATCTGAACACATGCATCATGAATCAGAAGTAAATGAGGTGATGGATTGAAAACTACAGCAAACAACTTAGTTGATCTTTTAGCAATAACATGCACAAGAAACTCCATGGGCCAAAGAGACTTTATTTCTGGTGTTAAGCTCCATCTTCAACATTGCAGGAAGTTTGAGATACAAAAGCCTTCACACTGATGGAAGACTCGTCTAACTTTAGTGCCACTACCGTTTGGGTGGAGTGTATGTTCCTTGACGTAGTTAAGATTATTGGTACTGGAGGAAAGGAGGACTGGTGGAGGCAGGGAAGGAGTTAAGTTAGGAGTCACGAAGTGTTCACTTCTGCTCAGGCATAAGGTCATTAATTGACTGGCCTGCCTCCAGGCGTTTCTCCATCTCTATAAGCAGCTTAACTCCATCCACTACCATCTGAACCAGCTCAACCTCAGAGAAGCCCAGACGGTCTGCATTGGAGATGTCAAAGACACCGCCTACTGCAGCAGTGTCAACGCCACCTGGAGACGAGAGCAAGTTTAGTACTGCAGATTACATCCGGTACATGTAACAGAACTGCAGGTGAACAAGTACCTGTTCCACGCTTTTGGAGCCTCAGTCGCTTGAGGACCTCGCCAAACTTCTCATGCTTGCTGAGGTTAGGAAGTTTGACATGAACGCCACCACGCAACCCTGTGCCCAGGTTGGAGGGGCAGGTTAGAACGTAGCCCAGGTGCTCATTCCACATGAACTCGTGGCCCTTCTCTTTAAACAACTCCTCAATCTGCAGGACAAACAAGTTAGGATTTAACAACGTGCCAACACTGGAGATGCTGAGGAGCTCGGATTGATTAAAAACCAACCTTTGTGAGGCCTGTGCAGAAGCGATTGAAGACTTCCTTCATGTTGCCACCTTTCTGCATGGAAATAACGCGAAGGTGGTCTTCCTCATTCACCCAGACCAGGAATGTCTTGTTGTCGTTGTGCCTATAAAAGCATTATGAAGATTCATATTTTAGTCATTTAAAACAGTCTATAGAATACCCAAGACGTGTCACTCGTATAGTTTTGAATGGGGAAAAATGCAATGCTCAATATGGCCGCTCTATCGAACGAAGCCCCACCTTCTGAGCAAAAGAGCCAATCGCTAAGGTCAGCGCGTCACTGCAGCTGCCGTTAGAAGTCCCGGTTGCTATAGAAACAGTCAATGCTCTGAGACGTGCGGATAGGACTGCGCATGCACACTGGCTGATCTAGCCTGAAAAATAAGCCTTTTATAATGCTATTTGAGCAAAATAAACACTTATGATACAGCTGATGTCAGATTTTATTGGGGATTTCAAATATGAAATTTAATCGTAAGCTTGGAGAATTTGATGTTTCCCTATTCAAAGAGATAAGAGCTGCACTTGCATGCCCGAGAGGCGTTTCAAAGATGGCCGCCGAGTGACGTGACTTGCCTTAAAGGAACTTTGTTTAAAATTTGAAGTGGATCAAAACCTTTCAGCAAAGATGTCCTAAAACCAAAATGCGTTCTTGTCTTAGGACAACTTTGATTCACTTTTGTTGATACACTTCAAATGTTGACTGTACTATATCATAGCCATCTCTATATTTTTCTTATCTTGGCACCAACATTTCATGTTGAGTTGAAATCACTCAGTAAATAATTGTTAGCAATAAAATAAATAGCAAAAACCAAATAATCTTTGTACTAGACAAACAAATCAGTTCTTTATTATATTATATTAAGATGGCACCCAAACGTAGCCATTTTCTAATATAAAATACACATTTTATAATAAAACAGAATACAAACCATAAAATATATTAGCACCAACATGGATGTTTCCTTATCAATTAAAAATCTTACTCCAAAAAAAAAAAAAAAAAAAAAAAAAAAAAAATCATTTTAATCAAAAGGGTAAATTAAAAAGATAGATAAAATGTATATAATATTGAGATGGAACCTAAATGCATACAAAAAATAAATAAATAAAAAAAAAAAGGTACAAAATGTCAACATTACTTTTCATATCAAGCTGGAATTACCCATTAAAAACTTTATTATTATTATGTAGTAGTAATATCCATATAAATATAATTTTTTAATATAATAATAATAAATCATCCAAGTATTAAGAAGATGGCACCTAAATGTATCCATTTAGTAAGCAAGGAAAACTTCAATATTCCTTAATGGGGGGAGAAAAAAAAGAAAAAAGACCCAAAAGGCCGGTCTCACTCACCAGATCCCTCTGCCATCGGGCCAGTCACGGGCCATCCCAGAGGCCAGCAGCAGTGGGGACACAGGCTTATCAAATAGGAAGTGGTCATCAATCAGCTGCTGCTGCTCCTCCTCGGTCATGTCCTTGAGGGCATAGTACTTTCCTTTAAGATCGCCATCAAGGACTCCCAAAGCTGTGAAAACCACAACACAACTGCATCATTACAGTGGATGCTTCAATCACTCGTTTCCACTCACACCTCTTGAACGACCAATTATGAATCATGTGCATCCAACGAAAACAGATGCCAAGACGAGCTCACCCTCAACAGACAGACCCTCGATGGCCCGTCTCTCCCCACGGCTGCAGTGAGGAGGGAGGCAGAAGCCACGGATGCTCCTGCCAGTTCGCACTCTGGAGCTCAGGACGTAGTTGGGGTCAAGGTCATCCCCACCCTATTAAAAGCACCACCAAATTAACAGGAGACTATTTTAAAATGTTAAACCCAATTAGATGCACCAGACAGTGTACCTGGAGGTTGTCTGGGTTCAGGTCAGTCTTGTGTTTGTCTGTGGGTTTGTATCCTCCGTGGCGGTCCTCAATGATGGGGTCCAGGAGATCTTTGAACACTTCATAAGTCTCCTCATCTCCAGCAACGCAGCCCACCGTCATGATGAATGGATGACCTGGAACACAAAAGATCAGCATGGTGGTGACTGCAAACAGATAGTCACAGACAAAGGCTTAATATAGCCACATGTTTATTATCGCATGGTTGGTCTTGCAGAAATCATGAGATTCAAGACGACAATTCCTCTTTTGTTGGACTTCACACATATAACACCTTAGGGGCCGTTCACATACCGCGTCTTTTGCGCGCTCAATTCCTTATTTCCAATGTAGACGCGCGGCAGACGCGCTCATAATGGAAGCGACGCGCTCATTTTTTCCCAGACGCGTCCGCGCCGCATCGAGAAAAACAACATTTCATCTTTCAACAAGCCAATCCTTTCCCGTAACAGGAACAGCTGATCATAGCTGTACAGGAATAGCCATTTTTAAATAAGTTTAGTAGCAGAGCTACTGCAAGCGATTTTTAGTGCTGCAAATCCATTAATCCTTTGCCGACACGTCCGCGTCTTCATGGAGAGCGCAGGTCACGGTTGCAACGGCAGACGCCCCCGGAGCGCAAGCGCCCGAACGCTTTGGGGGGGGAAAAAGCAGAAAGCGCCTAGCGTTTTCCACGCGTTTTTAGGCGCGACATGTGAACGGCCCCTTAGACTGTCATTGCCATTTTCCTCGCAGAGTCAAGTGCATTGGGGTAAAAAAAAAAAAAAAAAACTTGCATTAGCCATCAGGATAACATCAGGTGGCATGAGGAAGCAGCAAAGCATGCAAATCAGAATGTTACAGTAGAGTGCAACTAGGTTCAGTGTCTCTTCGTTTGACATCAGGCCCAAGAAAGCATTGAATATTACCTACGTACTAAATGTACGTTTTTTTGAAAGCACTAAGCCTAAAATGTGCAAGAGTAGCTGGACTCCACAGAGATTCAGAACTGATATTCAAGCTTATTTGTCCTGCTTTTAACAATTAAGCTATGCACTGATCACATGACGACGAATATTGTCATTAAAAATTGTCCATTGCACAAATGGTTGAATGCATTACTAGCAAAGTATTTAGAGACCCACTGAATTACGCCTATTTTTAGCAAACTGCATCATTACAGCACAGCCAGTAATCATGCTTTCTCAATGTCCATTTCAAAGACCAGCCAACTAGAAATACATTCAAGCCATTTCATCTTCAGAGAACTTCAATAACTAGTAATGAAAAGCACCAATTATATGTACTATAGTGTAGTCTGAAAATTGCATTTGTTCGTTATTCATGGTAGATTTCTGACCGCTTGGCGATTCAAAATCAATCAAACATGCTAGTTGGCTGCAGGTGCTGTTAGGGGGAGGGGCGTTCTCGCTCTAGAGGAATGTTATATGATTGGTAGTGCAGGATGAGTCATCACATTTTGGGACACTTTCCTCCCACTTTATGCGTTACAAGCCGCAAAACTCAAATGTGCACATCAGATCCTTCGCCGTTTGGTCCCCCTGCACCCAAGCGCCGCTGAAACAACGGTACGTTCCTCCGGCATCTGAACACGGGTCGTTTACCTGGGTTGTCCACGCCGGTCTGAATGACGTCATCCACGGTAAATCCG